ACGTTGGCCATTCTTTTTTGCTGGTTCACACAGACAAACAGACTGAACAGCACACAAAACAGAATACACAGCCTGTGTGTGTGTCGTCTACCTAATAAATTACTTTATTATCATCTGCTCTTTCTCTTTTGATTGTCTTTCTTCTTCTTCGTTTTCTTCGCCTTCTCCTCCTTTGCCAGTCATTACTGTTATTAGGTCTATTGATAAATTATTATAAACTTTTCTCACGCACGAGAGAGAGAAGGGGAAAGAGAAAGAAAGACAAAGGTGAGCACAGTTCTCGCTCTGGCTTGACAAGCAACGCCGTTGTCTCTTCTTTTCCACACGCAGTGAAAGAGAGGGGAAAACCACGACTGGCCTTTTTGCCTTCTTGGTTCTTGGTGGTGGTGGTCTTCCATTGGCGACACTGCTCAGTGCACTCTATTCATTGGCTCACTCACTCATTCACTCACTGACTCTCTGTGTGGGGCTGTTTAGATGAACCGATAGCGCCTTATTATTGGCGGCTAGAGTGGCGACGGCTTGAGCACACATTTTTGCCTTCTCTCTCTCTCTCTTCAGCTCTAATTGCCGCCGCAGTCTGTGTGTGTGTTCACTGCACTGCACTGCATTTTCCTGACTCTCGATCCAGCGTATGGATTTTTTTCATAAATCAACTGTGGCTGCCTAGCTCTTCAGTTCACTCCTGCTGCTGCTGCAAAGCAAAGGGCGCAAGGGCAATTTATCTCATCTCTTCTCTTTTGTTTTTGGTGGCAGTGGTGAAAGAGAGCGAGTGAGCAAAAAACTTGCCCTATGCCCGCCATCGCTGCTGTTGTGGCTTTGTTTCTGTCACCAAGCTGCTGCTGCTGCTATTCTGTTCCTCACTCGTCGGTCGGTCGGTTATTATCGTCCGTTGATGTTTAATATTTTATGTATCGCTAGAGCTCAAGCAGCAGCAGCTGAGTGGTAGTCAGCTTTCCAGCTAACAGCATTCGAATTATCCGCTAAATGCTCGCTCGTGTGCCNGGGGGGGGGGGGCATTGTTGCTGATATAGAAAAATAAAGGATAGTGAATAGAGAGTTTCGTGTGCCGAGAATAGCCAAAGAAGAAGCAGAAGAAGCTTTCTGACGACCAATGCAGCCAGTCAGTTCAGCACTCACAGTGGACAATCGTCCACTCACTGCACTGAACTGATTGCACGACTTTGTGGTGGTGGTGGTAGTGGTGGTGGTGGACAAGTCTTCGATTAGCAGGAAGCCGACAGAGCTCGACAGAATAGCCCAAACAACTACCCGCTAATGTTTTTTCTCCCTCTTTCCTGGTGACCGGTGACTTTGCGAGTGAGTGGCGCGACTAGTCTTCTCTGTCTAGTTCTCTCTCTCTTCTTTCCACTGCACACTACCCGTCAGCACAGAATCGGTTGGCTTCATTCTGTTCTGCTGTGTTCGCCTGTGCGACCACCACCACCACCACCACCACCACCACCACCGATTCTCTCACTCACTTTCATTTGCTCTCACGCCACCGACCTGTGCAGTTCAGTGCTCTCTCCTCTTTTCCACATTTTTATTCTGTTTCTGGTTTGGACTTCCTCTCTGGTGATGGTTGTTTCTACTTTGCACCCATTTTATTTGTTGTTGTTGTCCCAACTACCACCACCACCATTTTGTCGTCTCACTTTAAAAAGTGGCCCGTTTTTTGGTGCTACCGCTTTTTGCGTTTTTCCGCTCATCTGTTGACATCGCTCGGTGATGATGAAGCCTCCTACTGCTGCTGATCTTCATTTGTTAAAACTTCCATCACATCCTATCACTTGCCACATTTGTAGTGGTCGAGCTGTAAATGGTCTACTAAATCTGTTTCAAGTGCGGCTGCTGCTGTTCCTCTGCACCTTACTTGCACTTCTCAAAGGTATGCGTTTTAAGTGTTCGTTTTTCCTTCCTTTTTCTTTTATGTTGAGGTGCAGTTTGCGGCTTTTATTGCCTTTGTCTAACTGGTCTACTTTGTCGGCAAAGTGCTACTACTAAGTTTTGTCTTTTGTTCCTTAAGTACAATTGAGCTGAGGTAATAATCGTTTACCTTCTTTCTTATTGTTTGCTCCCTGTGTCACCTGACAGAGTACAGCACCACAACCACTTTTTGTGTTAATTGGCGAGACGTGTAGGTGCAAATCATTTTGGCGCTATTCTTTTTCTCCGAACCGCCGAATTTGAGCAGCATCAACCACTGAAGTAGCAAGTAGACAGTAGCAAATAATATAATTTGCGAATCGATTATTATTGCTATTATTGCTATTACCGTTCATTCAGTGTTGCCATTCTATGTTGATTATGCAGTGTGCCGACAATCAGTGCCGCGGAGAGAAGTTACCAGTATCGATTCACCTGCCATGACAGTGTCGCAGCAGTTGTTGTTCGATTCGGTTCTGTCCTGTTGGTGGGTGTCCTCCTCAATTACCAGCACACTGCACACATTTGTACTCAGTCTGTCTGTCTGTCTGTTCTTTTCACATGTGTTCTTTTAGCTCACTGTGTTGTTTGTCGCGCCAGCAATCGATTCCCCACCCAAACTTTTTTTCTGTTTCTCTCTTTTTTTCCCGTTGTTCGTGATCAGTCAGCCCCTGCACTGCACTGAAAAAAGATTTTTTTACTGGTAAAAAAGAGTCAGTCAGTCAGTCAGAGGAACTTAAGTCTCTACCTGTCTACCTGTCTTAGGTAGTCAATTGGTAATTAGCCGGTTACGGCGGGCTCTACTTTGGGCACTGCAATCGACGAATCGGAATTGGAATAGCAGTCAATCAGCAGGGCAATCAAGAGGGGCTGATTTGTGAGCCACCAGCTCCAGCTCCGACCCACTCCAATCACTTTCGGCAATTGGAGGCGCTCAATCAGCTAGCTGTTTGGGCCATTTATGCTAATTTGTCGGGGCGTGTGTGGTGGCGGCGGCGGCAGCAATGGGTTTTCTTCTGTGTAACTGTGCACTGCTTTGCCTAATTGCAACAGCCAAAACAGCAGCAGCAGAAGTAGTAGTGGTGCCAATGATTGGGGCAGAGCACCGATTCACATTCTTTTACACAACTTCTGTTGCCACCTCCTTCTGTACACTTAATATTCACTTAGCACTGCAATTCAGTCGATTCAGTCAATCGGTGGTTTGGCAGGAGTTTCAGTTGTGCTGCCGCAGTTGTCGTCGACAAGCTGCTGCTGCTGCTCTCCAATATAAATTGCATAAATGTGCCGCCATTTGCTGCTGCTGTTGCTGCTTTTGTCTTCTTTCTTTTCCTTTCTTTCTACTTTTGACTGTTGTTTTTCCGGCTCGCCTAGCACTTGCAATTAGCAGTTCACAGAGCACACAGAGGCTCTTTTCGGTGGCCTTTGTGACCGGCAGCACTCTCTTTGCTATGGCTGTGACCACCACAACCACCACGACCACCACGGCGGCCTCTATTTTTGGTTTCCTTTTTCTGGTTTTTTTCTGGTGGCCGACTCACTCCGACTACTGCCGGTGCGTGCACGTTTGTTGTGTTTGTGAACGTTTTTGTCCACGTTTTGCTGCTTTCGCATTGGTCGTCGTGGTTGACTTTTCTGCCTGCCGTCTTTTTGTGAGCTCTACGCCAAACTCCGGTGTGTGTTCATTAAATTCAATTTTTGCTTCTACTTTTGTTTGCGCACTTCCTTCTCCTCCTTCTTTTACTCCTATGCAAACGAGCCAATCGATCTAAAAGACGAGAAGGGAGGGAGGGAAGAAGAAGAAAAGTGAAAACATTAGCAGAGGAAACCAACAAACTGGAAGTGAATGAATTTGCGTCTGAGAGTTATATTTAAAGCAGTAGCAGTATTGCTCATATTTCTTAGTGTTTATTACCTCACCTGCCTCACTTACTCTGCCAGACAACAGACTACCACATTCGGTTTGTTTTTAGACTTTCGCTTTCCTTTCGCTTTCACTTCCTCTGCCCATTAGCACTGCAGAGCAGTTCCCTGCTAAATGGTGCTGCAATAACACAGTGAATTCACAGCAGTCTGAGCAGTCGATTAATTAATGCGAATGAACTGTGTGTTTGCCTGCGTTTAAAAGCGTGTCACCAGCTTACTCCTTCTCACCAGCAGCAGAAACAAAATGCGGGAAGATTAATTTGTCATAGCTTGGCCCTTTCTCTCTCGCTCTTTCTTTTCAATTGCCTTCAGTGTTCACTCCTCGTCGCCGCCGTTTATCATTAGCAATTATTCGCTGGCCTCCTCACTGGCTGACTGGCCAAGCCAGCACCAGCACCACCACTCTACTCTACTCGCTGACTAATATTTAATTATTGATGGCTCCATTGGCGAGATGGTGCTGTTGCCGAGAGTAAAGCGGGAAAAATGAGAGTGAGAGAGCAGAGAGTACTGCCCCGATTGTGCTTGACTGGCTGACTGACTGAACTGAGTGAATGAATGAGTGAGTGAATGAGCGACTCTAGTGGCGCTAATGACGTTGGAATCCCTCTCTCCTGCTCCGGCGCTCACTCAACTGCCGCGATAATAATTGGCTAATTGCTGCCAATATCGGCTTGTCTGCAAATAAATTTTTCTGACTGCGAGCGGGTGCTTTCTTTCTCTCGTCTGTCTGTCTGCAATGTGTGTGTGATAGCAGCACTGATAGTTGGCATTTGCACTTGCTCGGACTTATTCTCCTTCTGCTGCTGCTGCTGCTGACTCGTCACCATCCTTGACCAGTTGGTGATGATAAGACTCAGCGTCAGAGTCAGTGAGTCCACCACTAATGCCATGATTATGCACACTGTGTTTAAAGTCCCTCTCTCGGCAACACGAGTGCCTTTTTTTCCCTCTTGCAGTGTTTTTCTATTTCAATTATTTAGTAGTGCACTGCAGCACTGCTGCTGTGTAGGTGCAATTGCCACAAATGAAAGATCAACCCCCGTTCTGCAGTTGACCTCAGCCGATGACCTTTTCCGAGGGTTCTCGGGTTACCCTTCAATAATCATTACCTTACCACTCTTCTTCATTACTCCTCTCTTCAGAATCGCAACAGCTTCGAATCATCAAATTTGACGTACCGTCCTCAAAGGCAAATGGCAGCGCTGCGACGCTGCACTGCAACTACGACCTGGACGAGGGCGAGGAGTTGTACTCGGTAAAACTGTACCACGAGAACGAGGAATTCTACCGGTACCTTCCCAAGGAAAGTCCACCCGCGCAGTGGTACAACTCGCCGGGCATCTACGTCGAGGTAAACTCTACTAGAAGGTGATTATTACGTCACAGTGTTATTAATGATGATGATCACCACACTCAAACGCAGGGCACGAGATCAAACGCGACGCACGTGGTCCTCAGCAGAACTGACCTGGTGAGTGAGTGAATGATGGAGAGAGTCAAATGCAATGGATACTTTTCTCGTACACACGTTTCACCACTCAAGCAACTACCACTTTTTGTCTTAATTACCTTTTTTACTTGTACTTCTTAGAACTCCGACGGCCTGTACGCCTGTGAGGTGAGCACTGAAGGTAAGCTTGGCGTCGGTTGGCTGGTGCTAGTGCAAATCAATTATCAACTACTGAAAATGGTTTTCTCCTTTTTTTCTTCTTCATTCTACACTAGCTCCTGCATTTGCCACGCGAAAGAACGAGAAGATGATGAAAATCTACGGTAAGAGTAGACACATTTCTAAAAGAAAAAAGGAAAGAGACTGAGGACTGCGTGTTTGCCACTGTTTGTTTGCCAATGAATTTGCCCCTGCTCTAATCGTCTTTTTTCATTTCTTTCTTTTTCCTGTTCCCTCTCTACGCAAACTAATTACCGCAAAACTTCCACCACCACCACCACCAGTCCTGCCGCAAGAGACGCTAACGATCCAAGGTGGTCGCGACTACTACCGAATCAATGAGCACGTCAACTTTGTCTGCATCAGCGGCAAGGGCTGGCCGCTGCTGCAGCTGCGCTGGTTCATTAACGACGCTCCGGTAAACTTGAGAAATTAAATGAAAAAACAAATTAATTCGAGGGTGAAGCACTTTTTAACGATTTCTATGTTGCTTCCTTTTTTCCAGGCGCCCTTCGACTTTCTGACGACCTTCAAGGCAGTGCCCGACGGCGACGGCCTGCTGCGCTCAAAGCTAGGCCTCAACTTTCGCGCCACCCGGGACTATTTTCGCGCGGACCATTTGCGACTGCGCTGTGCCGCCACCCTGACGCTGCTTTACGAGCTGAAGGCAGTGGAGTACCTGATTGATGGCACGAAGAAGCACCGGACCAATGCAAAGCGCTTCACCAACGGTAAACAGTAGTTGCTTAAATTATTTTTGATCAGCTCATTTAAATACCCATTCCAGACCTGGCGCAGATCAACAGCAAGGACGTGCCGGTGATCAGCGGCATCCGCGACAAGTACAACGTCAATGAGACGATCAACCTGAACTGCAGCACGACGGCCAGTCGCGCCGAGCTCGCCTGGTACATCAACGGACACAGGGTACACTTTGTTTTAGTTTTTTTTATCTAAAATTACTTATCAAAACATATTTTTCTACCCAGGTAAACAGCAGCTACCTGCGCACCTACTCCAGAGGCGTCAGTGGTGAAAATAGCAATGGAAAGTTTGCTAATGATCAACGGCCTTCGCTGACAGTGCTGGGCGTCCGTCTGCAGATGGAGAAACGTTTCTTTCAGACGGAGGAGATTGAGCTGAAGTGCGTGGCCGCTTTTGCAAAGACCATCGCCGATTTTCAGGAGCAGGTCATCATCAAGACTTTCTCTGGATCGCAAGACTTTCTTCTGGAGCGCAACACTGCCTCCTCGGGTGCGGCTGACAGCAGAAGGGGAGGAGGATTGTGCTTGATACTTTTTTTCCTCCTGTGTTTGCTCCTTCAGCTCAACACTTTCTCCTCTTTCTTCCATCACCAGACTGCCACTAGCAGAAAGCTGGTTCGGCGTTGGATCGCCGAGCTGGCGCTCATTAGGTTTGCTTAGTGTTGGTGCTGAAGAGAAAAAAGAGGTCCACTGTTGATGTGTAAAAAACACAAAAACTTGTATAATACTTCTGTATCATGCTGTTTTTAAAGTTAAAAATAAAAAACTGAAAATGATTGTTCTGTTACTTTAAAAAACTGACGATTTCTAAATTCTGGCTTTTAAATGTCCCACGCCAATGAGGCTGTGGAAGAACATGAACAGGCCGATGACCCTATAAGATAACGATGACGAGCTACCATTATTCTACGGTGAATCACCAAACGAGACTGAAGGCAACTTGTTTGTGGTAACCGGGATAATTGAAGATGGAGATCACACTTACGCTGAGCCTCAAGCAATGCAAGCCAATGAGGCTGTGGAAGAACATGAACAGGCCGATGACCCCATCGAGTACTGGGATCCTGACGAGTTCATGTACCACAGCGAGGAAAGCGAATCAGAAGAAGAAAATTATTCTGATTATGAAGATAGTTGGTACAATAATGATGATTATGTCGATGATCACCTTTATGAAAACGACAATGAGGTCAAAGCCGACGAAAATGAAGTCAACAACGGTGACAGCACTGACACTGATGTCACCAATGACGAAAATGAGGACGTCAAAGAAAATGATGATGATGATAAAGACGAGGAGTCGATCAGCATCGAAGACTACGAGACAGCCTGTAAAAAGTGGGAAACCCTGACGCCCTCTGACTTTGAATGTAAAGTGGTACAGTATAGTCCCTTGCCGAAGGAAAATATTCATGTGGCCACCTTCTATTTAGGAAATGAAGCTGGCCAAGAAACACTTCACTTGGCAATGGATGAAGCCACTCACTACATCTGGTACGAACATGCAAGAAACACTAAAAGAGATCGAGAAAGGGAAGAAGCAATTTGGAAGTACAAAATAGAGCCTCACTGAGCTGACACCACTGCCGCTGGAGTAGCCTACTCTGAACTCTTTCGACAAATTTGCAATGAAGATCTCTATGATTTGCCTGGACGGTTCATTGTTGAAAAAGTGCCAGTAGTCCATGCGACTTCTGTGAATCTTCTTGCCAACGCCTACCAGTTAAAAATAGTTCAACCCGAAGTCTACACCCATAGAGATTACTGTCTGAACAAATCGGTGACTGGAAGCATTTTGCCAAAGTCAGGCAAACACAAGCGGCTGATCTTACGCAGTTTATTGTTGGGCGATTCACGGTTGTTACAGAATCTCGTTAGTACAGGTAAATAGGTGTTGGTCGCATATCTGATGAAGGAACAGGTCACGGAGCACTCTACCTCGTAGAGTGGAGTTGGAAGCATCTTCATCATCTCTCGGTGTCACTCTCGGTAGCTCATCTCCAACTAGCCAGCCACTAGCGGTGGCGGCTCCCTTTATACTGTTCTCTTGCTGGCATACTCATCACTTCAGCTCGTCGGTACTCTTCGGCATGTCAGCAATGTCCGCTCAAGGTCTGGCGCGAGTCTCTTCCGCTGGCTGACTCTTGGTTAAGGAATCTCTTTTCCAACAATTACTACCTTTACAGCATCATGACTGAGGTAGTCGACAAAATCCGTAAAATTCGTGAAAAGGTGAAAATGGACTGGACTTCTATCATCAGCCGAGTGATACACACCTACAATAAACAGCACCAGTACCTGATCAAAGTGAGCCCTCACAACTTCATCAACAACCAGAAAAGAGTCCAGGTAAACATGTTGGTTGATGAAGAGCAGGCTAAAAGAGAGACGCGCCGAAAGTGTTACGAAAAATGGCTCTCAGAGAAAAAGAAAGCCGAAAAAGAGGAGGACTGGACTCAGCCATTACCTGCAGCTCAACTGAAAGTAAATGATGGAGCTAGCACTTCTGGCTATTCTTTAGGAGAGACTTGCTACTCTCCAGAGCCGATGAACTCTTCAAGCTCAAACTCCTCTTCGCCTTCTCAATCGCCGAAGCGAAGCAATGAAGAGGTGATTGACCTTTCAATAAAGGCGCAGAAAATTGAAATCAAAACTGACACAGAAGACCAATGACGACAGCAACAACCGAGACAACGATGACGTCAACAAAAATGATGAGTTCGAGCTCGGTTACACTGTAATTTTGTTGATACGTTTGCAGTGAACGATAGAAGTAACCAACAACAAACTGAGTGTTTGTGCTGTTTGCGGGGTTTGCTTGCTTCAGCACGGTTCCAATGCTTTTGCGCGAGGCATTGGTGTAGAGGAAAGTGTTGAATGTCGGATCATGCAGTCGTAGTATTGGTGAAGTGGTAAACAAGACTTTGACCTTTTTGAAAGCGTCTTGTTCTTCTTCGTTCCACTTCCATTCGACTTCCTTGCGTAGTAATTGGTGCAGGAGGTAGAGTAGAACTGCTCTGTTTTTGATAAATTTTTCTTAGTAGTTCACCTCTTTTTCTTTCCTTCATTCTTCTTGTCAACCATCACCACAGGAAAAGAGTAGGGTGACGTTGAAGGGGTGATAAGTCCCTTTTTCAGCAGGTCATCGACTTGTTTGTCAATGTTCTCGTGATCTTCTGGTGTGCATCGGTACGGTCTGATAGTGATTGGTATTTCAGTTGACAATTTGATGTGACACTTTTCAGTTTTTATGAGACCGATTTGATTGGTAATTTTGTAAAATACTTCACTGTTTCGTTTGACTAATTTGGCAACTTTTTCAGGCACACCTCCTATGTAGTTGATCATCATCGTCCTCACTTCTCCGCCTGTATCTTTCTTGAGGCGGTAATAACGGCCATTCTTAATGATGAACTGTTCAACCGTGAAAGTGAAGTCGATGCGAAGTTTGAATTTGTAGATCACGTCCAATCCAAAAATGATCAGGTCAGGGTGTTCAAACAGTAGAAATTTGATCATTAGGGAGTATTTTCCGAGTGTCGTCCGCACTTTAACTGCAGTAGTGCAGACGTACTCTTCTGAAGCCAAATTTAAATGGTATTTGACGGGATATTGCTTCAGCTTGAGTCGGTCGGCGATTACGAAGGGCATCATGTTGACATTAGCTCCCGTGTCAAGGAGTCCTGACAGTTTACATCCATTTATATCAACGGTCACGAAAATGTTTGCACCACTAGGTTTCCCTATGGCTTGCACATGTTCAACAAATTTGTTAGGAGAGAAAGTGAACTTACTATGCTCAAGATTCTCGTCGGTAATCTGCTCAGCTGTTGGCTTTTGTCCATCAGGTTCAGAGTCAGTTTCTTTTTTGATTGTCACCGATTTTGTTGTTTTCGGCACTCGGATGACTTCTTTAATGAAGATGACATCATCATCAATGTCGTCTTCTTTGTCAGCTTTGATTTCAATTTTCTGCGCCTTTATTGAAAGGTCAATCACTTTTTCATTGCCTTGCTTTGGCAATTGAAAAAGCGAAGAGGAGGTTGAACTTGAAGAGTTCATCGGCTCTGGAGAGGAACAAGTCTCTCCTGATGAGTAGCCAGAAGTGCTAGCTCCATCATTGACTTTCAGTTGAGTTTCAGGTGATGACTGAGTCCAGTCCTCCTCTTTTTCAGCTTTCTTTTTTTCTGAAAGCTATTTTTTTGTAATACTTTTGGCGTGTCTCTCTTTTAGCCTGCTTTTCATCAACTAGCATGTTTACTTGGACTCTTTTCTGGTTGTTGATGAAGTAGTGAGGGCTCACTTTGATCAGGTACTGATGCTGTTGATTGTAAGTGCGTATCACTTGGCTGATGATAGATGTCCAGTCCATTTTCACCTTTTCACAAATTTTACAAATTTTTTTGACTACCTCAATCATGATGCTGTAGAGGTAGTAGTCTCCTTGGGTGTAGACTTCTGGTTGAACTATTTTAAATTGGTAGGCGTCGGCAAGAATATTCACTGAGGTCGCAAGGACAACTGGAACTTTTTCAACACTTAACCGTCCGGGCAAATCATCGAGGTCTTCATTGCAAATGTGCCGGAAGAGCTCAGAGTAGGCTATTCCAGCAGCGGTAGTGTCAGCCCAGGTTGGATCCATTTTGTAATTCCAAATTGCCTCTTCATTTTCTCGGTCACTTTTAGTGTTTTTTCCACTTTTATACCACACGTAGTGGGTGGCTTCATCCAGTGCCAAATGAAGTGTTTCCTGGCCAGCTCCATTTTCTAAGAAGAAGGTGGCCACGTGAATGTTTTCTTTAGGCAACGGACTGTATTGCACCATTTTACACTCGAAGTCAGAGGGTGTCAGTGCCTCCCAATCTTTAAGGGCAAACTCGTGGTCTTCAATGCTGATTGACTCCTCGTCATCATCATCATTTTTGTTGACGTCATCGTTGTCTCGGTTGTTGCTGTCGTCGTTGGTGACATCATTGTCGGTTTTTTCAGCATTGTTGACTTCATCGTTGTCGATATTGACCTCATTTTCCTCTTCATCAAAGTGATCGTCTTTGTAGTCATCATTGTTGTACTAGTTGTTTTCATAATCAGAGTAGTTTTCCTCTTCTGACCCATTTTCATTGCTGTTGTACATGAACTCGTCAGGGTCCCAGTACTCAATAGGGTCATCGGCCTGTTCATGTTCTTCCACAGCCTCATTGGCTTGCATTGCTTGAGGCTCAGCGTAAGTGTGATCTCCATCTTCAATTATCCTGGTTACCACAAACAAGTTGCCTTCATTCTTGTTTGGTGATTCACCGTAGAATAATAGTAGCTCGTCATCGTTATCCTTTTCATAGATTATCTCCTGATAAAAGGTTTGTTCGTCATTTTCTTCCGGTTCTCCAGCTTCATTGGAGTTTATTGTCGTCGTTGTCGTCATCATTTCCTAAGAAGGCTGAATCGGTAGTCGGTAGATCAGCTTCTTTGAATCTACCGCCTTGATGTATTGCAAAACGCGTTTTATTATTACATCATCTACCGGGGTGTACGTGTTGATAATTCGCACAATCTCTTCTTGTACGAAGTTGATGTTGAATTGGTGCGCGTCGCATTCGCGGAGTATGTCCTCGCACTCTTGCAGTTTAGATGCGGGGATTGTTGGTTTGTAGCCAACTTTGAACGGCACAGGGTAGAAAGTGTAAGCGCCGTCCTCTCCTTTTTCTTCGGAGGAAGATTCAAACGCAAACGAAAGTCCTGGTATCAGTTTCACCGTACCTGCTCCTGTGTTGGTTGCCGTAGTTGTTGGTGATGGATCATCAGCGGTAACTGCTGCTTTTTTGGCTGCAGTCTCATCTTCTTTGACAGTTTCTTCCGATGCTTTGGCAGTTTCATCGGCTATTTCTGTCGCATCTCCTGCATAGACGTTTTCAGCTGTGTCTGCTATTTCTTCGGTAGCAGTGGCAATTTTATTGTTGTTTTCGGTGGCGGCTGCAATAACGGTGGTTTCGGTTTCTTGTTCCCGCTGCATGGGCCAAGTTGGGCTATCTATTTCAATCGCCTCCGGGGGAACATACTGTTGCACAATGGTACTGTCAGTTGTGCTTGCTGCAGTGTAATCGCCAGTTGTGGTGAGGTAACCTGTATCCTCAATTATTTTCTCTGTCTGCTGTGGCAGACGTGTTTCGGCGCCTCCAAAGCTTGTATAAGGCTCATGACGAACGACATGCCATGAAAAGATGGAGTTAAAGTCGTCTCCACAAAGTTCAAGGATTTCTTTTGCATATTGTGGTGGCAGAGAATGAGGGCTGATTCCCGTGGATGTCGGGTCATTTCGATACTGGTATTGTAGTCGTGCATAGTTTGCTATTACGGCTGTCTTAACCATCTCATCCATTAACTTTTTCTCTCGTTTCAGTGCTTCGTCGTTTCCCACATCTGTGACGGTGACGTCGGGATTGTCAATTGGCGATTCGCCAGAGGTAACGGCTTTAGCTGTCGGTTTAGCTCCAGGTAGCCAAACAGTCGGGATGAGTGGCAAATTTGGGTCAGTGGTCACGGTGGTGTCTAAAGTGCCAAATCCACTTAGTGCTTCAGTCACAGTGGTAGTTGTAGCGGTTGAGCCAGGTACTGTTGAGACAATCAGATCGGTCGTTTTAGTTTCACTTTTGGTAGTAGTAGTCCAAATGACAGTGTCCGTGCCGGAAATAGTGGTAGCAGTTTCGATTGCTACCGTAGTCGTAGTAGTAGTGGTGACCGTTGTTTCTAAAATTTCAGGAGTAGTAAAGGGAATAGCAATGGTGCTTTTTGTACCTTTTGTTTTCTCAGCTGTGGGTTTTTTGCGTTTGGCAGGTTCGTTAGTCAAGGCGGTTTTAGGGGTTTCAGTAGTAGTAACAGGGTCTCTGGTGCTCTCAGCGGTTTCAGTACCTTTGGTGGCTTTGGCGGCTGCAGCGCCTTTAGAAGTTTCAAAGCTTTCAGCGGCTCCCGGGCCTTTAGCGGCTTTGGTGGTTTTTTTGGTTTGTTTCCCTTGAAGCCGGGCACTATGCTTTTTATAGCACTGACTAGGCTTTTCCGCTCGCCTGGTTTAAGAGGTGGGGGCGTCTTCTCCGTCTTTTTCTTCTTTAATTCGGCCTTCTTGGCTTTTTCCTCATCCAGATGCTGACGTTGCATCAAGATGTACTCGTAGGTTGTTTTCAAGATAGTAACGGTTGTCGATTTTCCTTTGTACTCTAGAAATTCATCAGATAAGTGGCCCAGAGTCTCCCATTCTTCCATGAGAGTGTTGATGTGAGTTAGTCCACCGTTGAGATACTCGTATTGAGCGTTCAGCTCCCCAGTCTACAGATCTGATTTTCAGTGGAGCGTAACGAGTAATTGTTGAAAGCCTTTCGGCTGTTGGAGATTGACGTGTTCAGTTTCATTGACCATTTATCTAGGTCACGGTAAAAAATCCTTCAGGATTCCAAGTTGAACTACTTTTCGCGCTCTTTCCTTCTGGAGGTGATGGTAGGCTCGTTCTATGGTTGATGCTTAGTTGCTTTAACTTTTCAGACTGACTGAGTTTTCTTTTTCTGTGTAGCGTTTCACAATCTACTTGTATTTTGCTGACAAGAGATTTTTGTTTCAATTTGTCAGACGTCTTTTTCTTAATTGCTTTTGAGGACGATTTCTATTTTTGTTATCCGGATAATTTTTTTAGCTTTTCAGCTTTTGCCCTGTGTAAGCTTCACTTTGACTGAGTGAGGCAGTCTTCAATTCTCTACAGTTTTTTCAATTGACGGACTGTGAGAGTGCAGCTATTTTCTGCTTCGCGATTCTCGCGATTTTCGTTGCTCCAGCTTTCCTTTAAGCGAGCTTCAGGATTCTTTTCCCTTTTCTGCGGGAATAACACCTCTCGGAGACTCGTGCACTATGCGCGTTTATTTATGGTCCTAGTTCAGTCCTACTGAGTTGTAGGGAGAAAACTTGATTTTCCTCGGGTGCAGACTGGTTCTGCTGGTGCCAAATTCTTTTGGCTTCTTCGCTTGTGGACAGCAAGCACTCTTGCTGTTTCAAGCTCTTCTGTGACTTGGCTAGACTGGTGATTTGTGATTTCACCTTCTTTAGCCTTTAAGAGTCACTAACAGCTCCTTCGATTAATTGCTTCGCTCTTGAAGTATTCTTGCTCTCTCACACCTTACAAACGTTGCACTCACTTGATCATGGCGAGCACAAGTTAAAGTAAATAAAAGTTGTTTTATTAGGTGATTAAGAGTAGATTAAAACAAGTAGAGTGGTGCCTAGGTTACTTCACAAAACAATAATGGGACTGTGTTGCTGAGACTCAATTCAGTTGAGTCGACGCGTTGAAGTTTGCTAGCTTTGCAGGTTCGGGTCGTTCGATGATTCTAACTATGCTACTCTTTTAGCTCCAGGTCCTCGGCGTCTTTTATACGGTTTTGAGCATTCCTGTGGCTTCTTAGTAATTTGCTTCTTGCGCATGCGGTGTTTTAGGCGGGATTCCGAATCCTGGCCTCGAGCCAGTGTCTAAAGAAGGAAACGTAAAAATGGGGTGATCTTATGAATGTGAGGAAAAAAGATGGGCCTTAGCAGTTAGGTCCTCCTAGTCTGTGAATAAAACCGTGTTTGGTTACAAAGAAAGTGAAAACGTGATAAACAGCGAAAATATTGCAATAGTGTGACGTAAATAAGAAAAGAGTGTTAAGACCGTGCGGAATGACTGGAATTGTACTTTTTCCCTTCATGTCTGCTGATTTGCTCAGTAACGCCATCTGTCGATCTATCGGCCAGCTATCAACGGTATTTTCCGCCCCAAAAAGTTTGCAGCTGTTGTTTTGGTTTGTTGTCATCACAGTTTCTACCATCGCTTGTCATCCATTCCTCTGTTTCTCTTTTAAATCACCTCAAATTACCATCACCCTACAAGTCCATCATCACCACCAGCACTCCTCTGTTGGATAATCACACCTACCAGCAGCAACATGTCCAACAACGCGCCCAAGGTGACGGGCATCTCGCCGAAGGACGGCGTGCCGCGGACGAAGCTGACGATTCGCGGCGAAAACCTGGGCGTCGACCAGGACGACGTGGTCAGCCTGCGCATCTGCGACGTCGAGTGCATCATCTTCCTGGACTGGGTGTCGCCGCAGAAGCTGATCACCCGGTCGCCGCACGGCGTCGGCAACGGCCACACCGGCGACGTCATCGTCACCACGAAACGCGGCGGCGTCGGCATCAGCACCGTCCAGTTCACGCCCATCGAGGAGCCCATCGGCCTGACCACGCCCAGTGGCGTCTGGGTCGACGAGAGTGAGCACTTCATCGAGTACCGCCGGCCCACCTCTCCTTCCGTCGAGGACCTCCAGGGCGGCGGCTTCTCCGAGGGCTCTCTGATCAGCGGCCAAACAGTTCGCGTGGCGAAGCCCTTCGACAAGCCCTTCTCCGCCCTCTTTCCCGACCTTAATCCGGCCAACGTCGCAGCCTACAGCGACATCACCTCGGACGCCTTCCACCCGACCATCTTTCTGCTGGAGAACAAGTCTGACGTCAGCTTCGCTGCGCTGAAGGACTTCTACGAAACGCAACGGGCCCGCTGCAATGCCGAGCAGAAAAACACCCTCAACTCGAATGGCTTCCTCAAAGCGAACGTCCTTTCCATCATCGACTGCCTCAATGCGCTCAATGCCTTCTACCTAGCGTACAAGAAGGACCGGCAGGAGGCGGGCGGCGCCGAGTTTACCATGAAGCTGGACGAGCACATTCGCCTGGCGCGCACCGAGGCGCACGCCATCTTTGACGCCATCATCTCGCGCAAGGACAAGTCGGACTCGACGCGCAACGCTCTCAACGTCCTCCAGCGGTACCGCTTTCTTTTCAACCTGCCCTCGAACATCGACAAGAGCATGCAGCGCAAAGACTACGACGTGGTGATCAATGACTTCTTCCGCGCGCGGAACCTCTTCGCCAACAGTCCGGTGGCCGTCTTTCGGCGCGTCTTTCTCGAGGTGGAGGAGCGCATCAGAAAGTTCAGCATCGTCCTTCATGAGACCTTCACTCGGCACTGCACCACCGTGGGCGAGGAGGCGCGGAACATTGACGAGCTGAAGAAGCTGATCAAGTACCTCTCGGCGCTGGCCATCGGCGAGGATCCCGCCTGGGAGGCGGTGACGCTGATCAAACGGACGCTTTATGAGCGGATCGCCGCCGCGAAGCAGACCTACCTGAAGGCGAAGGAGGCGAAAGAGGCCTCGACAAACACTAGGACCATTATCACCGTCTCTGCGGATAACTCGACGACGACAGTGGCCGCAACCACAACCGCTGCCTTTGTTGGTATCGGAGACTCGCCTACCGGCGACGCCCCGCCCGAGATGAAGTTCATCGAGGAGGTGTCGAAACTCTTCAGCGTCGTCTTTACAGACCTCTTCAAGCTGGGCACCGCCTACCTGAGCGGCGACCTGATCTCCACGCGAGGCAACGCCAACAGCAACTCAAATTCAGCAGAGTACCTTGCTCGCCAGGCGGAGGCCTTTGAGAAAACAGTCCTCGTCGAGTCGATGGAGTTGCTGTGCACTGAGTTTCGCGCCGTCCTCCTCGGCTCAGAGTCGGCGCGCTTTGCCTCTTCAGTGGTCAACGATGGAAGTGAAGCGGACGAGTCGACTCGCCTGACCGTCCTCTGGCTGCCCAACGCCCTCCGCTGCGCCGTCAACTGCTACTCCAGTCTGGTCGGCCTGGACTTTGCCGCACTTCAGCAGCAACACAGCCATCTTTCAGTAGGAGGAGGCGGAAGTTTAGGCCCACCGCCGCTGCTGAAGCCCTTGCAGGCGTTCATCTTTGACCTGCGCTTGCACACGATGAAGTGCCTTTTCACGGCCGCCTCGGCGGAGATTCGCGCCCTGCACCGGCGCGAGGCGTGGGCCATTCAGCTGGACGACCTCTACGGCGTGCGCACCAATCTGCCGCTGCTCTTTGAGAGCAAGTTCACCGCCGTCCTCCAGCTGATTCGCGACTCGGTGCTCAACATTCGCGTCTCATGCTCCACCGCCACTGCTGCTGCTGCTTCTGGTGGTGGTGGAGGAGGAGGTGGCAGTCAAACCAACTCCATCTCCGCCTCTTCCACCACCACCTCCTCCTCCTCCGCCTCGGCGGCGGCGGCCATGGACGACGAGGTGGACCTCTTCTCGCAGATCAACGTCAAGGGCGAGGTGAAGATCCTCGCACAGAACGCCATCTTCGCCTTCCTCAAGGCGCTGGAGCGCTCGGTGGCGAACGCTGAGCTGCCCAACTCGAACATCACCGTGGACAATCGGGCGCTGGTGGTGCTCTGCAACGCCTCCTACACCAGCAACTACGTCCTCCCCAAGCTGCAGGAGGCTTTTGACCGCCTGGGCTACCCCGACATGACGCAGACGCTGGCGAATGCGACGCGCAAGTTCAAGGAGCTGGAGGTGCGCCTCCTGAACGGCTTCATCGCCAAGAAGCGTGACAGCGTCATCGGGCTGATTGAGCAGTCGATGTACGACTTTGCGCCCGGGTGGACGGCCAGCAAGGAGATGCCCAAGGAGGTGAGCTACTACGTGAAGGAGACGCTGCTCAACCTGATCTTCGTTCAGGCGGAGATCTACCAGATCACGCCGCAGCTAGTGAACAAGACAATGTACATCATCCTGGTGGCGACCATCCAGGAGATTGAGCGCCTCTACGAGATTGTCAGCGCCCGACTCAGCGACCACGCGCGCGTGCAGATGCTCATTGACATTGAGGCGCTGGACCGGGTGCTGAGGGGAACGGGGCCGAAGTACTACGGAAAGCTGAGGGGGCGAATTGAGAACTGTCGGGCGTTGAGCAGCGCCACGGTGAGGGATCCCACCATTCGGAGGATCATTGACGACGTGACGGCGGCCTTCTGCGAGGCGATGCGCCTCCAGATTAGCTGCTTTCACTTTGATGTGGAGATGGCCTGAGATGGTGATGGAAAGGCTGAAGAGAATCATTAACTGTTGATATTTATTTATTTGCACTTTTACACGCCTGTTTATTCGGTAAAAAATTAAAAAAAGAAAAAGTTTATTGTGACAGTGCAGCAACAGCCGAACAAAGAGGGCTAGAAAATGGGGACAAAATGAAATAAAGGGTATGGTTTAGAGTTGGACTCAAAAAAATGGAGATTAGAAAAAAGTGATACTTTCTAAAAATGTTTGCGCATTCTAAAATGGGCTGAAGCGGTGACCTTGCATCTGCTCCTGCAGGAGAAGTGCCGCTGTTGCGGCTGCTTTGGTGGCCGAGGCAGTGTCGATGATCTGGGACTGCTGCTGCTGCTGTTGCTGCTGCTCCAGCTGGGACATGACATCAGCTCGGTCAAAGATGCTGCCAGTCGACGATGAAGTGGGAATGGGCAGTGCTGGAGGTGGTGTGGGCAGTGCTGGCGGCGGCTGCAGTGGCGGCAACGAAGGGGCCGTGTACGAGGCGACAGAGCTGCCCAGAGTGGCCACGCCCGAGGAGCTACAATTGGAACCCAAGTGGAAGATACTGGTGTCGTGAGAAACTGACTGGCTGACTGGCTGGATGACTGAACTGATAGGCTACTACTACTGTCAAAGTGTTAACTAACAAACTAATCATTCCCACCTGAACAGAGGTCCACCTACCTGAAGGGCGGTAGCATGAAGGGATTCGGTGACCAGGGAAAGGCGTCAGGAAGGGAGTTCAGGCTGTGCGCCGCCATCATCGCCGTCACCGAAGAGGCGTTGCTGTGGTGAGCTTGGTGGCCCTGGTGGGGGTGATGGGGGTGCTGGTGGTACAGTTGATTGTTGAAGAGACTCTGCGAGGGATGGTGGGCGACTGGGGCGTGGTGTTGAGTGCGAGACTGGTGATGACCGCCGACGACCATTTCTCCTCCTCCTCCTCCTCCTCCTCCAGCAGCAGAGTTTAAACCCCCACTCTGCTGGTGGTGATGGGCTGCGACGGCCGCCGCCGAAAGCAGACTGTTTGGATTGGCCGAAGAGTTCAGAAAGGCGGCCGCTGCTCGATGGCGAGCAGCCTGCTCAAACGGAGACGGGTGATGGGGGTGATGGGGGTGATGGACGTGGGGGTGGTGGTGGTGGGCGTGGTGAGGGTGGTGAGGATGGCCTGCGTGGTGAGCGGTGATTCCCGCGGCGGCGTGAACGTGGTGACCGTACACGTTCGGCGTGGACTTCTCGTAGGCGTTGTGTCTAAAAAAGGGAAAAAAGTGTATGAGATTTTTAAAGGAAAAAACGCCACCCGAGCTAAGCTCTTCACCGGTTGATCTTCTTGATCTTCTTCCGCCGTTTGTAGTTGCCCTCCTCGAACATGTCACTGTAGGCGGGATTGAGCGCCCAGTAGTTGCCCTTGCGTTCATTGGAGGAGGTCACCTCGCGGGGAATCTTGATGAAGCACTCATTGAGGGAGAGGTTGTGGCGGATGCTGTTCTGCCAGCCCTTTTCGCCCTTCTGAAAGAACGGCCACCGCTTGCAGATGTACTCGTAGATGGAGGAGAGGGGCAGTTTGTAGTCGGGCGCGTCCTTGATCGCCATGGTGATCAGGGCCACGTAGGAGAAGGGCGGCTTGACGTGCACCTTCGCAGTGGCCGAGGCCTCGTCGTCGCTTTGCTGCTGAAGCTGCTGCTGCTGCTGCTGCTGGTACAGCTGTTGATCTCCTCCGCTTGATTGCTGCTGCTGCTGTTGTTGCTGTTGTTGATCCTGTTGGCATCCTGCCGAAATGATGATGCTGTTGTTGTTGCTGCTGCTACCGCCGCGGCCACCGCCATTATTAGCACTGTTTCCGCTGCTGTTGTTGGTTCCTGAAGCGGAAACGGCCAGGCTAATGTTCTGCAGGTTTAGTAGCTGCTGATGTTGCTGCTGCTGATGTTGATGCTGAAGTTGAAGTTGTTGTTGCTGGTTTTGCTGGTTTTGATGCTGAAACTGGTGATTGCCGACAATTGGTGGCAGAACAATCTGGTGGTGCTGCTGATGATGTTGCTGCTGCTGCTGCTGGTTATGATGATGAGGGTCGAGGAGTTTAGAGGAAGAAGTTGAAGAAGAAGCAGTAGAGGACACTGTCAGCGAGAGCGGCTTCGACTGAACTGCCTGCAGTGAATCGTGAAGCAGCAGTGAGGCAGTGGAGGAGGTGATCGAAGACGTCGGCGACTGAACACTATCTGCTTGAAGTGCCTGCAGAATCACCGAAGACGGACTGTTGCTGCGGCTGCTGTGGCTGCTGTCGCAATGGCTGCCACTGTGTCCCAAAGTTGAAAAGTTGTCGTCAAGTATGACTGAGTATGACAACAGGGGGAATGAGAAAAAGTGTGAAAAGTTGTTAAATGAGCATGGGTGCAAGTGTTTAAATGATATAAACTGATGATCATGTGCAGCAGCAGCAGCAACAGGTGGTCGTGTCTGACTCTGACTCTGACTCTGTGGCTGGTGGACTTGTTTGGTTGGGACTTTCACTGCTGCTGTTGCTGCTGTTGGTTGTATTGTCTACACTGCCCCTGCGCCTCTGCTGATTTGGCTGCTGCCGCTGGTGTTGGCCTTTAGTTTTTGTAATGGCCAAATTGGACAACTCATAATAAAAATAGAGAGACACACACACAACCAAGCAATCAGTGGTGTGCCTTGTGTTGTGTTTGTGTTTAGGATTGTTGATTGAATTGTTTGGATACAAATTAATGCCACGGTTTGTTACAAATTAGAAATAAATACGCAATGGCGTGTGCCAGTGCAGTGCTGTGTTGCAGCAGCAGCAGCAGCAGCAAACGTCTGGACGACGATGAGGACGTCAAAAACCTCAGCCGACCATCTACCACTACCACCACTATTAGCATTAGTTAGTTTCAACAACAAAGACATCGACACTGACCACAAACAAAACGACGGATAAAACAAAACAAAACAAAGACACTTACCCGAAGAAGACGAGTGGCCCAGCGGCGGAAGTTGGCAGCCGCTGAGCAGCAGTGAAGCCCTCTGAAAGCTTTGCTTCTGCAACTGCTGCCGTTGTTGTTTGAAGCTACTGCTGCTGTTGTTGTTTTCCTGATTCATCTTTTGTGTTTCTTGTTAAGTGTTCCTCGCCAAAGAAGTCAGTTCAGAGCAGCAGAGAAGTAGATCAAAGAAAAAGAGACTGTCTGACTGGTGTGTTTGCAGTCGCTGACGAGAATGTTGTTGCAGCAGTGGATAGAATTCGGTGTTATAATATTTATAGTTATGCCTGTTAAGTGCCAGCGTTAGCGTGGTGTCTGGGCACACGCACTTACAGTGACTGAAAGAGCGACGGCAGAAGAAGAGGAAGAAGTGCTGTACAAGTGCACAATGCCCAATGGTAGTGCACAAGTGGTGGTGNCGCTAGCGTGGTGTCTGGGCACACGCACTTACAGTGACTGAAAGAGCGACAGCAGAAGAAGAGGAAGAAGTGCTGTACAAGTGCACAATGTCCAATGGTAGTGCACAAGTGGTGGTAGTGGTGGTCGAGGGTCGTGCCAATTCGGTGGGCAGAGGCGCTGGGCTGCTTGCGAAAGAGTTGGCCAGTTGATTGCAGCTAATGGTTTGCCGTGCCTCACACCACCGCCGCCACCAGTACATGATGTCCTCGCCGTCGATGAAGAGCCGACGAAGCGGACGTTGTCGTCGTCGATGTTGATGTTGATGATGTTGATGATGTTTTTGCTGCTGTACCATGCCAAACAGCAACAAATGCGTCCGATGATTCGGTATTTCGACGTTGTCGTCGACGTTCGAAACAGCGCAGGCAGGCAGGCGCTCAGTCAGTCTTCGATACGACAGTGGCCGACAACAGCACGAACGCTCCTATATCTCCCACCATGCTTCCTAAGCCACATCTCCATGGATTCTATCCATCTCCCTCCTTCCCTTCTCCTCCTCCTCCTCTTCTTGCACCTAGTTGGAGGATGATTGCTGCTGTTGGTGTTGGCCATCTACCTAACTGGCTAACTGGCCGTGCGCAAATTTCAGTCTAGACACTACTAGTCATCATCAGGCTAATGCATTTGCTGGTTGTCGAGCAGCAGCAGCAACAGCAGACACCTGTCTCGGAGACTAGGCAAAAGGCAACTTTAGGCTTTTCGGTTTCGGTCAAAGTTCAGAAGATTGTGCGCGTTGCTGTTGTTGTTACAAGTTGTTGCAAAGCTCACTGTTCGATTCGCGCCGCTTCGACCAGCGCAGACAACAACATTCTCCGTGCACTCCACTTTCTTCTCCACTCGCAACAAAGTTGCAGTCATCAAAATGTGCCAGTATCTCTTCCCCAGACACTAACTACCGACCATTGCAGGTTCACTATGGCGACCTGTTGTAATGGTCGTCGGTTGTGTGTGTGTGTGTGTGTGTGCGTTCAGGCTCATGCTAATGGCTGGGGCGATAATTGGTCACACAGTCTGCGCAGTCAGAAGAGCACAGTTCGGGGCAAAGGAAAAAGAGAGTGAAAGAAAGAGTTGGACGTGAGGATGTGCTCTTTTCCAGAGACCAACGGCAATGGCAGCAGCAGTGAGCAAAGTGCGAGCCAAAGAAGGGATTGAACAGCAGTAGTTTCCAGCGTTGAGCAGTAGAACACATCGAAATGAGCTGTTGCTTTTGCTGCTGCCTCTGCTTCGACTGTTGATGAGCGAGAATGCGCCATTAGATCATCATCATCGTTTGCCAAGAGCAATTAGTGCACACTCGTTGCATCGAGAGCACAAGCATAACATCCGCAATGTGCATCAGTCAGATTGGCAAAGGGTTGCGAAACACAGTTGCAAGTGAAGTGAAAATTGAAGATCCATTGAATGAAGATAGCTTGTCAACTTGGGCAGTCGTCTTGTGATTTGGTAAAATAATGAGATTTTTATTAAGAGAAGAAAAAGAAGAGATTACTATGCTAGCCAATTGGTTAATTTGTTAGTAGTGCGTATGTACATCCAGTTGAAGGAAGGGTAGAGTGGAAAGGAGAACGGAAAGGGGAAACCTTTTTCTAGAGTTCGTCCTTGGACGAGGCGTCCTCCTCAGCGGGCGGCTGTCCGGCGTCGCCGCCGGCACCGGCGTACAGCTTCGAGATGATGGGCGTGACGGTCTCCTCGAGTTTCTTCTTGCGGGCCTTTAGCTCCTCAGAGTCGGCATCAGCGTTGGCGTCGAGCCTAGGGGGAAAGGAATGGCGAGTTAGATTTAAAATACAAAAAGTGTGCTCACAGTGCCAACTTACCACTTGATGGTCTCATCAACGGAGCTCTCGATAGTCTTCTTGTCATCGTCGGACAGTTTGCCACCGAGCTTCTCCTTGTCGCCGATCTGGTTTTTCAGTGAGTACGCATACGACTCGAGCTCGTTCTTCGCCTCAACCTTCTCCTTCACCTTCTTGTCCTCGTCGGAGAACTTTTCCGCATCCTTGATCATGCGTTCAATGTCCTCGGGTGAGAGACGATTGTGGTCATTGGTGATGACAATCTTTTCCTTGTTGCCGGTGCCCTTGTCCTCAGCGGTAACCTTGAGGATACCGTTGACGTCAATCTCAAAGGTGACCTCAATCTGGGGAACACCTCGGGGTGCGGGAGGAATGCCGGTGAGATCAAATTTTCCAAGCTGATGATTGTCTTTGGTCATTGGACGTTCACCCTCGAACACTTGAATTGTGACGGTGTTCTGATTGTCAGCGGCGGTACTGAAGATCTGTGACTTTTTGGTGGGGATGACGGTGTTTCGGGTGATCAGTTTGGTCATCACTCCACCGACGGTTTCAATGCCCATGGTGAGGGGGTTCACATCGAGGAGGACCA